AAAAAAAAAAAAAAAAAAAAGAAAGAAAATTTGGGTTTACACTGGAAATTTACTTAAAGCTTCTCTTATTCTTCAACATGGAAGTATTACATAAGAAACCAAAGGATAATTGAGGATTTTTTTGATCATAAAGAAACATAACAAAGTTGAATCCTATTTAACAGAGAAAAGGAGTTACTGTGATATTCCACTGATTCTCTCAGCAACAACCATTATCAGGGCAAGCCAAATCTCTATGATTTAGATCAGTATTTTTCAATATTCTAAGCTGGAAGATTCTAGAGAGCAGGCATGTCCACTGGCATACTGTATGTCAACTAGCAGACCTTCCACTGGTATTTGTTGAACAACTAATTATTGCTCTTAACAACATCCTACTATGATCAGAATTACCATCATATTGCACAAAGTGATGGTAGAAAAAGTTAAATGATTTTCTTATAATCACACAGATGCTAAGTGGCCAGTTCTTTAATTAGGCCAAACTATTTATGCCAAATCCTTTTTGTGTATGTGTGTGTGTGTGTGTGGGGGGGGGGGGAGCAGAGATTGAACTCAGGGGCACTCAGCCACTGAGCCATATCCCCAGATCTATTTTGTATTTTATTTAGAGACAGGGTCTCACCGAGTTGCTTAGCGCCTTGCTTTGAACTTGCAATCCTCCTGCCTTCCAAGCAGCTGGGATTACAGGTGTGTGCCACTGTGCCCGGCCAAATCCTTACATTTTAATAACTCCTTTTTATTCTATTATTTACCCAGCAGACTATATAACCAAGCCAAAAATACATTTCTAGTGAAATAAAAATGTTAAACATATAATTATTAAACACATTAAAAAATGTAATGATAAATATATAATTAAAGTGCTAAGAAGTCATCAGTTACAATATCAGAGTGAAAAAAAAATGAATGATTGGATCTTCCTACCCTTACATGTATTTATTCTAACCAAAAAATAACTTAATCTAGTTTAGTCATTATTGCTAATATATTTTATTCTTTTAATAGTATAAAACACAGTAGACCATTACACATCTAGAATTTACCAAAATGTCATGTGTATTACTTGTATATTGCTAGAAATAAGCATTAGGAAAAAAGCAAATTAAGCTGTAAGGGAAGTCTTGGATTTAAAAGCAAATTGTAAACAATATACAATAAGTTAGAGATATTATTTACACAAGAGAGAAACTACCTATTAAAACTAAACATATGCATTTTAAGAAATGGCAGTACCAAAATTTATATGCTAGAAAGGTAGGCAGTAGATTTTTTATATTTTCCAAGTTTTCTGTACTAAACATTATAGAAAAGGGAGAAATGCACAAGGCCTCAGGTTCAATCCTAAGTACAGGGCAGGGAAAGGACATGATTTTCAACTAAAAACATTTTAAGGTTATATACTACATATTTAAGTTCCATTAAGAAATTCTAGGGGCTGGAGTTGCGGCTCAGAGGTAGAGCGCTTGCCTAGCATTTGTGACGCACTGGGTTCAATTCTCAGCACCACATATAAATAAATAAAGGTCCATCAACAACTGTTAAAAATTTTTTAAAAAAGAAATTCTGATTCTATTGTATTATGATCATATTTCATTCTGGATATTAATATAATAATCATATCTTGAATCTTAAAAAAAATTTTTTTTCCAAGGATAGCTATAGTTTAAAACAGTAAAAGTCCTGTTAACTAGACTGATCAATTACATGTACATATACTAATTTATTTCAGAAAAAAGTACAAAAAATAGTTACCATGCAGATATACTATAATTAGGTTTACAGATTTTACTTATAAAATCATATTTTAGGAACTCACTCAAGTAATCTGTATTTATCTTACCCTTTAATGTGAAACACAAACCTGATACTTGTCTTAGCTTCTATACATATGGCAGCCAGAGCATGGGGGTGTAACCAAATTCAAGCTAAAGGAGATCAGCATATGGATACTGCACTTTTTAGTCATGAAACAACAAATCCACTTTTTTAAATTTTTTTTTTTAGTTATAGATAGACACAATATTTTTATTTTGTTTATTTATTTTTATGGGGCACTGAGGATCAAACCCAGTGCCTCACATCTGCAAGGAAAGTGCTCTGCCACTGAGCCACAACCCCAGCTCTATTTATTTCTTTTTTATGATGCTATAATTTTTTTGGTTGGTATGCCAAATGTAAAGAAGTGAAAAATAGCTATGCTGTTTTAACATGTTTAATTTTGATATAAAATGTTGGCAAAATCACAGTAAGGCAAAGTGAATATATCTACTGAGCCAGAAAAAAGTAGAATTATTATTTGGGCAACCACATGATCTATATTTCAACTCTATTTACTAACTTTTGCTTTTTAAATTCTGAAATTAAAATGGCTAGTAGAATAAAGAACAATATAAACATTAAAGTCACATATTCAGTAAAGAGAAAATATAAACTGATAGGATGTGCATTTATCTGTTAATAGGTCCACAGAGTTAAAAATATCTTTGTAAGAATATTAGAAACAGCAGCACAATCTAAGTAACAGAAAATGTAATTTAAGGGCTAGGGATGCAGCTCAGTGGTAGAACTACATGCATGCAGCCCTGGGTTTAAGAAAGAGAGAAAGAGAAGGGGGTGGGGAGAAAGGGGGGGGGGAGAAAGAAAAAAAGGAAAGAGGGAAAGGAGAGAAAAGGAAGTAATTTAAAATTCTTAGGGCTGGAAGTGTAATTCAATAGTGGAGAGCCTGCTTTGCATACTCAAGGCTCTAGGTTGAATCCCAGGCATCATAATAACAAAAACAAACAAAGATAGGTTTTCAGATAAGCTATTATTTCTTGACCCTTTAAAAGAAAGGAAGCTTGGCCTAATTTAATGAAAGTAAAATCACATGTTTAATGTTTGATAACTGGTCACTATATTCTTAGAGAATTAAAATTTCAAATTTTTCCTCAAAACTATTAATAAAGAGCAATTTCTTTTCTTTCTTTCTTTTTTTTTTTGGCACTAGGGATTGAACCCAGGAACATTTTACCACTAAGTCACATTCCCAGCCCCTTTTATTTTTTATTCTGAGACAAGGGTCTCACTAAATTGCTGAGGGTCTAAGTTGCTAAGGCTGGCCTCAAACTTGCAATCCTCCTTACCTCAGCCTCCTGAGTCACTCTGATTAAAGGCATGAGCCACTGCACCTAGCACATTTTATTTATTTATTTTTTAACCAAAACATATTTTAACAACTTGGCTAATTCTGCAGAAGCCTTTTGCTTTTTAAATGTTAGGCACTGTATACAAAAAAAAAAAAAAAAAATAAGGCAATTGCTGTTCTTAGAAAGCTTCCATAAAGTTAAAAAAAAAAGACAAGTTAACAACTCATATAAGCCAAAATTCAAATGTGCTCCTTAAAATAGAGGTATAAACACTATGCTAGCAACACAGAACTAATGACTCAACAAATATTTATGAACCGTTTACTCTATCACAAATGCAACCTAAGTACTCTGTCCCTCAGTGGTTAAGGCACAGACACTGAAAGTGAATGTAAGTGCAGAAAGTATT